TCTCAGTTCCACCTCTTCCTAGCTGTGACCGAAAGCAAACTCTTCCCCTATAAGATGGGGAGAGCTTTCTCCCCCTCGGCTATTTGTCCTTAAGTGAAGCGCCTTCCCTGAAGGGTAAGCCACACAGAAGGGGCTCCAATTCCTTTACCCTCTCCCCCCTCAGTCCTTGGACGAAGTTGGGGGGTTGGCATTCTCCATGAATTTGTTCCGTCCTGATCATCACCCTTGGGTTCAAATCAATGAGATTATTTGGAAGTGCCAACCTGCCACCTGCCACAGCCGCTCGCCCACCTGCTTTATTTGGCCTCACCCAGGCCCTTCAACAATGTACCACGTTGAGCAGAGCAACATGGGAGACAGAGCCTGAGCAGGGCGTTGGTCTCCCCTGAGGCTGCCCTAGACCTACTACTCAATGCTCCCCAACCTGCCACAGGCGTTCTGACAGCCAGGAGCCCCCTAGGGTGGGAGTGGGTGCTCAGAGTCCATTCTGACTCCTAGCCACCCCATTCAACAACACAGAACTGCCCCGCACAGTATGCTTCTCTCCCGATGCCAGACCATTTCCTCAGGGTGCTAAGGCTGCTGGGACTTTCTTGGCTGTGCTCTTTCTGGAAGCAGATCTGCACAGCTTCCGCCCAGAGAGCCACAAGGTGGGTTTGAACCACCAACATTTGTAGTCAGCAGCCAGGTGTTTAGCCATTGTGCCAACAAGGCTCCCGGGGACCTCCTGGTGGTGCTAGTATGTGATACAACCTCCATCTTGTTCTAAAAATATTTCTGGAGTTTTTCCATCTTCACCTTGCCGGGGATCCTGGGTAAGTCATCCGTCCTTGGATTTCCCCACAGAAGAGGAGAGGAGGGAGACTGGCCAGACTTCTTTCAAGTCAGATAACTACATTTCAGTCTTGAAGTGCTACGAGTCCTCCTCCTAGCTGCTCCCTGGCTCAGTGTCGGTAACTGGGAGCCTTTTCGGGGATCAGCGAGAAGGCTCCTGTAGACGTGAGCATGGGAGTGCAAACTGCTTGCTTGCCAGTGGAGGGACTATTGTCAAAAGCAGTGGCTGCTGGCTGAAAACAGTCTTTAATGCTTAGTGAGAACCTGCCTTCAGCGCATGCAGCTTGCTTTCTGAATGAAGATTTCCCATTGTGCCGTGTGTATGTCTCTGCCTGCCAGTCGATGCTGACTCATCATAACCCTTACAGGACATGGTAGTGCTGCCCCTGTGGATTTTCAAGACTCACTCTTTATGGGAGTAGAAAGCCTCATCTCTCTCCCGTGAAGTGGCTGGTGAGCTTGAACTGCTGACCGTGTAGTTACCAGACCGGTGCATAACCCACTACACCACCAGGGCTCTGGAAGGTTTCCTATAGGAGGGGTAGATGCTGGTCCTGCTCTTCTGACTCATCATGAATGTGGACAGGTGAAACAATAAAAAAGCATCTTTCTAAGCGCTTCTTGTAATAGTGAGTCAAACATTCATACGGTGTCTTAATAAGGTGTTTTAAGACCCGGGAAATGAGATAGATGGCAGCTATGATTTTATAACATTGTGAGGGATTATTGAGGTACAAAAAGCTAGGACAAGAGGAAGCATAATGCAGCCCACCAGGAATCATCTGTAATTAGAACACCCCACACAATTCTTCAGCCTGGGAGCTTGGTGAGCCATGATAAAAACACGCGTGGCCCATGCTGGGCACTGAGGAGCCGAATCAGCCACTCTCGACTGGCATTTTTCATCACACAAGTGCCCCCTAACTGCTGCTAGGGGAGTGGGGGGTGACAGGCAATCTTCTTGGTGGCCATCTCAGGAGATCACAGTGATTAAGCATGGGACCTGGAGCCCAGCAACGAGGGGTGGCATCCCAGGCGCCCTCTTTCTGACTGGGTGAGCCTACGCAAGTTATTGAATTTCCCTGGGCCTCGGTTTCTTCACCATTAATAGGGATGAGAATCACTACCTTTCACGGCAGTTGAGAGGGCTGGGCCAGCTGATACGTGAAGCTGAGAGGTGCGGTGCCTACCCACACTGCACCCTCCAGTCCCCAGCTACTACTGGGGTGCTTATAGGTAGGACTAAATGAGGGGTCCCTTCCTTCTACCCACCCAGCTGCACCTCTTCCTTGCTAGAATGCAAGCCCACACTCATAAGCCCTGTCCCTTCAGTTGACCTGCTGGTGACCCACCCAGACGACAGCAGAGACGGTTTGGCCTCCTGCAAGGGCTAAAGATTCTTCCTTTTTCTCACTGCCACAGTTAACCATCTTGGGGGGTCAGGGGTGGTAAAGGGGCGAGGATGCACAATGTTCTCCACCCCCACCTTTCCTTCTTCAGGTGCAAGGTTATGTTCAGCTGGGTATTGCCTTTGGCTACAGGAAAACTCCCCCAGAGGTCCAGAGAACTGGTGTCCCAGGGCGTGGCAGTGCCCCCACCATCTGTCCATCCCTTCCTGCCCTTCCTTGGCTCAGCTCCTCCTCCCGGTCGAGCTCAATAGCTCTTCCTGCGCAGGTCATGTGCCTGCCCCTCTCGGGCTGAGCGCCGGCAGGGACACAGAGGTAGTGTCGGAGAGGGCAGTGCTTCTGAGGGCTCTCCACGGCACCAGGACCAGGGCTGCAGAGAACACAGGCTGGGGCTGAACTCTCTGGCCAGGCTTGTTTAAGCTGTGGATCCCAAGTCAATGACTGAGCCAGTGTCCACGTCTTTCTTTAATGCAGATTTGGGCCACAGGAGAGACCGAGCACAGTAGAGACTGTACGGGAAGCACTCAGCTCAGTGGGCGCTCATAAGGCAGCCTGCCTAACTGCCTTCCCTCCCTCCTTTCCTACTGCTGCTGCCAGAGAGGCCCTGGCTGGGACCATGGGTCCAGGTGGAGCCTGCTCCTGTCTGGGACTCCCTAAAAGCAGGGCACTGTGGGGGCAAGAGCCGGCCCCTGGCTCTGCCTGCTGGGCCCCTGTTTTCTGAAGCCGACTCAGCTTCTGACCTCTTTTCTCTCTCCCAGTGGCTCATTAGGGCTCATTGTGGGCTCCTTTTTAGCCTTTCCTTTTCTGAACTTCCAACTGGCTTCCACCACCACCCCGGCCCATCCCCCACCCCCCACATCCCTGGGACAGCACTGGGGACAGAGTGGCAGTGCAAAGCTAAGACTCCAACACAGTCAGGCCCTGGGCTGGGGCTTGGGGGCCAGGGGCTGGGGTCAACAGTTCCAGAGGCGAGTGTGGGGCTGGGCTCATGCACCGTCTTGAGCTCTCGATCCTGCCTGATGCTGGATTCTGGAACCTCTCCGTGCTGCAGGCTGCTGGGTTCTGGAAGTGCTCGCCCCTGCACAGCAGTGGGCCCCGGGAAAGCCATGCTAGGACTTGTTACCAAGGTGTCACACCTCCATGCTTCCGCCCCGGCGCGCAGGAGCTGCCGCATGTTCCTGTCACGCCTTCTCACCCAGAGGCAGAGCCTGCTGCCTGATGGCTCCTCTGCTAATGGCTTCCAGGTGTGTCCTTGATCCCCTGGGGGCAGGCATCCTGGAGGAGGTGCCTTCCCCTGCCCACACACCATCCTGTGGTCACCTTCAGCCACAGGAGCCATGGTGCCCTCGAAGTGGGTCAGGCACCCGAGCTCTGGGTTCTCTCCTCACCGTCACCCGACAGCTGGGGCACACGCACATTTTCTTTGCACTGAGATAGCTGGACAGTCTGCAGCTGGTTTTGGAGAGGGCTTAGCCTGGTCTGTCCTGTGGGAGGAAGTGTGTCTGTACCAGCGGGTCTCCATGCCCAGGGTCCTGGCTCTCTGCACGGCTCTACCTCTCGCCGGGAGTCTGGTGTGGGAGCCTATTTCCGAGGCTGTGTGCACACGTGTTCCTCTGAGCCTCTCTCAGCAGCTTCCCTCTACCATCACAACAATTTCCATCGCAACAATTTCCGTCGCTGTTTTATTGTCCAATATGTGGAAGTCCAACACTTCCCTTCCTGTTTCACCCCCCTAAGGCCTTACCTTTTCCTTCCCGAACTGCTGCCGGCTTCAATGGAGGAGCCTGATCCATGCTCTGCTGAGACTGCCCGGGCCGCAACAAGGCAAGCAGGGGGCCCTTGTGGTGAAAGGCAATGCAACCAGGGTGCCAGAAATCACTCCTGCATCACCTTGTGGTCACTGATCCCCTCTGAGTTGTTGTGGGCTATATTGGTGCTTCAACAAGTCCCTGATTCTGGGCGCACCCTCTATCAACCACCATCATCACCATCCTCACTATCACCTCCTTCTTAATCATGCCATCCCATCATCCATCCCCACCTGCACCATCAACATCACCCCCACCATTGCTGCTATCACTGTTATTAAGAAACCACCATCACCGTCCCCATCAAGAACACCACTAATGGCCCCATTACTAACAAGAGAGACAGCGGTGGCTTTTCCGCAGTTAGTTTCTCCTTAATCTTCACCCATGAGGACCGACCAGATGTTGAACACACAGCCGCCCAGTTAGATGACTGCATTCCCCGGGCTCCTGGACGCCAGTTTAGTATGGCCATTGGAGTGAGCATGTGGAGTGGAATTTTAGAAGGTGTTCTTACAGAGGGGCACCCTTACGTATCTCCTTCCTTCATCTGCTGCACGATATGAGGGCGGGTGCCCAGCAGCCATTTGGGACCACGAGGAGAAGACTGTGCCCCAGGAAAGGGAGCGTGTGAGGTCTGGAGGAGGGCGGGACCCTCCTGACGGTGGAGAGACCATTCAGATGCCGGACTGCTATGACAGCCAAACGCACGACTTCCCTTTGGATCTCACACAGGAAGGACCCTGTGGTTTGGGGCAGTCGATGCAGGCAGGTTGGCCTGCGTTTCTTTGCAGTGAGTAGACCAAGTCAGTGCTCTGCCTGTGAGAGAAAGAGAGAGAGGGAGAGTGTAAGCTACCAGGATAGGAGAATGAGCCCCACCCTTGGGAAGTCTCTCTTCGGGTGCAAAACACAGCAAGGATCGAGGTTCAGCACCGTGGACAGATCCGGGGGCATGGTGGTGAATGGAGCGGCGGCGGGAAGAGGTGAGGGCGGTTCACAGTGGTCGTCGCGGTGGGGATGGTTCTTTACTTTGACATAGACAGGCCCATGCACCCCCCTCTCCCTGCCAGGCACTGCTAGGATCTCTCTTCGTTATCAAGATACTTTCACCAAGTCCATCTCCACCCCCCGGGACCGGAGGAAGCAGGCCAGCGCAGGAAGGTTTCCTAGAGCAAAAGGAAGCGTGGACCAAGGCGGACTGTGCGACAGAATGGACAGAATACAGGAGAACGAGGGGCCCCTGGGTGCCGGGGAGAGCTCAGTGTTGGAGGAGGGTCAGTGGATTAAAGAAGAGTGTTGACTAGCTGGGAGTTAGACACGGTGAGTTGTGGGGGCCCATCTGGTCTTTGCAGTCTGCATCAAAGGCTCCCATTTCTGGACCCAAGACTCTGTGATGCTGTCATGACAGCAATGTCCGGGGTCTCCGACTCGAGTCTAAGGTTCTGCATCAGTTAGTGGCTGCTGTGTAACAAATCACCCCACAGACTCGGTTGCCTGAGACTACCGCCGTTTCACTTGCTCACCATTGGGCTGTGGTCCATGAAGCAGCTCTGCTGGTCTCCCCAAGGATCACCCAGCCGCTGGAAGACCATCTGGGGTCTGGTTGGTCTGCAAAACTCCCACCGTGATCATGCCTGCCTAGTCTCATCATTTAGGTCTCTACACATGCCCATCTTGGGGTAGGAAGAAGGGGAGCCCTGTGGCATTAGTACGTGCTAAGTCCCCATTTGCACCAAATTGGCTGATGTCTCAAGTGGGTCCAGCCAGAGTCCGTGTGGGAAGAGACAGCATCGGAGTGTGGATACCGATTGGGTAGGATTGATGGAGGCCATTCGTCGAACAATCCACCACAGGCCCTAAGTGTTTCTCAGACAGGAGCACCTTAGGAATCTATGTTCTGCTTCAAGAGACTGTGGGTCTCTCCTGAGTCTGTGGTTCTTAGAACTAAGTGGCTTGATTCAAGAGTCTACAACCTAGCCGTGAAGGGCATCGCTGAAGCGAAGCCTGTGTACCCAAGAAGCCGCTAAGGGAGTTAGACACCCCAGACTGGAGCAGGCATCCACCTGCCTCTCCCCACCCCTCACCCTCAGACTTCCGGTCAGGAGGGGAAAGTGGTGCGAGCACTGAGCCTAGGTTATAGCCCCTGTCTCATCACTAATCCACAGGAACCCCCAGCACTGTGCTTTACGTCTCAATGTTCTCACGCAGCCAACTGAGATCCCAACCCCAGACTGTCAGCTGACCCTCCACAGTGCTGGGATGGAGAGGGGCGGTCTGGGGTGCTAGACCCATTGGCTTTCACTGCCAGAGCCTGGGGTCTTGCTCCCATCCCCTCCAACTGCTCACCACTGGAGAGACCTGAGTTTAAGAACAAGATCCTAACAGATATTTGGTCTTGTCCTGGACCCACGCTGCACAGAAATAATGAAAAGGCCCACTTCCTACTCCTTCTCTCTCCCTCCCTCTCCTCCCACCCAAAGCGACGAGGCTTACACTGGCATCCTAGAGCCAGACCCTGCCTGGCTTTGAGACTGGCCTGCTCCTTAGCATCCCCTCAGGATCATGGAAAGAAACAGCTCCATCGGGGCAGAAGCCCCGAGCCAGAGCAATGAGTCATAGCACTTCCCAGCTCGGGGAATCAGATGCAGCGCACCGGCTGAACCACCTGGCTGTCCGGCCAGCAAATAGCAGCACAGAGAGGGACTGGGACCTGCTGACAGTCACACAGCCAGCAGCTGGTCAAAAGCAGAGTCAGGGGAGCCCCTCCCAGCTTCTGAACATGAGGCCCCAGCTTTGAACCGTGGCTGACAATGCCTGCTGCCACCAGGGGCAGTGAGGAGGGGCCGCCGGTCTTTTGCTCTCCCTCTGGCTGAGCATGAGTCTGGGTTGAGGTGAGGGCCGAGCTGAAGGCTTCCAGAGGGCTTGTCAAGCTCATTTATTCTAGTCTCCCCCACCCCCACCCCACCAGGCCCGGCCACGGAGTGGAGGAGGAGAGTATTAAATATCGGAGAGTTATTTAAAAGCCAGTTGCCCGCCCCTCTGAAGCTGAGCGCAGGCTCTGCTGACTCAACGGAGAAAATGAATCTTGAGCCTATGGATTTTCCTGTGCCTTACGGGGGTGGGGGTGGGGGTGGGGGACAAACAGGAACAACCAGGCCCGTGGCAAACTTTCCCCTCCCTGAGGTGGAGAAGCTACGTCAGAGGAGAGAGCCTGGGGCCTCCCCCACCGTCTACTGATGGACTGATGGACCTTCATCCTCACAGGATACCCAGCTGCTCCTCCTTCACCCGCCCCCCCCCACAAAGGGGGAGCAGGGTAGGCACGAGGGTGGGTGGCAGGAGGAGGGAAGGAGCCAGACTCGCAGGAGTACACTGCAAGGCCCCCCTGAGCACCTGCTGCCACTGCCTACTTGGGTAAATGAAAGACGGTCTTAGAAGGGGCAAGTGCAAGGTCATAGATTGAGAAGGGGTGGAGGGGTCTAAACTAGGCAAAGTACAGATTGCCCTGCCTCGCCCCATCCCTCAAAACAAGGGACCCAGGGCTCACAGGCCCCCCAGATCACCCCAGCCACCCGCACCCTTATTGTTCAGGTCCCGGAAGGCAGACACCTCTGAGGGGAGGCTAGGGGCGGGGGGGCAGGATATCTGCTGGTGACCCCAGGAATGTCACCAAACTTCTCTGGGAACCCTAGCAGCTCAGGAGGGCCTGGATGGGGACGGGGTCTTGGTGGGGAAGGATCTAGAAGCTCAGGGAGGGGACTGAGCCTTGGCAGGGCAGTGAGGGGCTCTGGGGCGCACGTTGGGGTGGGAATAACTTCAGAAATTGGGGTCCAGTGTGGCTGACATGGGGGCAATTCTCCTCTGAATGTGGGGCAGTCCCCCTGTTTAGGTGTGTGTGGAGGGTTGGGGAATATCTCCAAGAGTCTGCTTGCTCCAAGTCCTTCGGAAACCCTGAGGGCTTGGGCTCCTTGCCCACAGGCTCCCCTGGGACCTGACCCAGCCACTCTTGGAAGAGAAGGAGCTGAGGCGGGGAGGGCTGCAGGGCAGGCAGGAGGGGAACCTGGAAACCTGAGCTCCTGTCAGGCTCGGGTCTCAGTCACCTGTGCCACCTTGGGGGAAGCGCTCCACCTTCTGGGTGGATGTCTCCTGGTGTGGAGACCCAGGACCCTCACAGAGATGGGAAGGTGGAAGTAAGAGTTTTTAAAATCATGATTGCAGCCAAGAAAGGGTCCCTGGTACCTTCTCAATGCTACCCGCTGAGCTGTGTGCTGACAACACAGAGTCTGATGGGGCCTGTGGGCAGCCAGGGGGTGCAGGGGAGCCCAGGCCCTCTCCTTGTCCAGAAGTGGAGACGTTCAATGGGAGGAGGAAGCTGGGTGGGCTGCTGGGAGGTGGCGGAGAAGCTCAAGCTGACCTGAGAGATGGTGGGCTGGACTGGAGAAAGACTGTCCAAGGACAAAGTGCCCCCAGGGAGGGCAAGGGACCAAGCCAGATGTTTCCACGAGTGCAACAGAGAATAAACACAGCCCCACTCGCAAGTGGACATAGGTTTATCCAACACCTACTGCTCAGTGCACACCCACATCCCAGACGGGCAGGGCTGGTCCTGCAAAGGGCGGAGAGCCCCAAAGGAGCCCCTGGTGTGGATCTGGGGGAACTTGCACAGAGGAGGGCAGGCTGGGGAGAAACCACACGCAGAGGCAAGTAAACAAGAGACTTGTTTCCTTAATAGCCACCGCACCTTGGGCTGTGGTCCACACGGTTGGTAGTTCGAGACCAGCAGCAGTTTGGCAGGAGAAAGACTAGGCTTTCCACTCCCGTCAACAGTTACAGTCTTGGAAACCCCCGGGTGGGGTTGGGGGGGGGTGACTCTCTGCGAGTCAGCATGGACTTGATGGCAGTGAGTTGGGAGCTTGGGTGGTGACCACTGGGAGGATGGCACAGTGTTCCGTTCTGTTGCACATGGGCTCACTGTGAGTGCAAGGCTCAACCTGACCACACCGTGGAGCTGTGCTCTGTTGGGGAGGAAGGAGACAAGCAGGGCGAAACGGCACAGAGCTAAGGCATTGCAGAAAGGGAAGGGCTTTGTGTGAGCACGTGGCGGGCCAGAGGTGGGGCTCCCACAGAAGTGACAGGGTTTTTCTTGTTTTCAAAACACGAGAGGGCCACAGAATAAGAACGTGGAGACCTACTCACTGCACAGAGGGCTCCATCCCCCATCGACCGAAAGGCACAGAGTCCTAAAAGCCATCCTTCTCTGGCCCCAGCTTCCTAGGTCAGGATGAGATCCCCCTCATGGCACTGGCCCTCTCAGAAGCAGCCCACCAGCTGGACAGATCCTAGGGCTAGGATCCTAGGACCAACCACTGGCTTCAGGTCAAGTTCCTGGCTCGCTGACCTCAAGCCCCTCAATTGTGAATGGGTTGTCAAGTGTCAGCCAATCAGCTCTGACTCATAGAGACCTAACGTACAACAGAATGAAACACTGCCCAGTCCTGCACCGCCTCACAACTATGATGTTTGAGCCTACTGTTTCAGCCACTGGGCCAATCCATTCCATTTGTTTTTCTTTTTTCCATTGGCCATCTCCTTATCAAGCATGATGTCCTTCAGCTGAACCCCTTAGGGCCAATATTGAGAGTAGCAATACCAGGAGGGGAAGGGGAAGGTGGGGGGAGAAAGGGGGAACCGATCCCAATGATCTACCTATAACCCCCTCCTGGGGGACGGACAACAGAAAAGTGGGTCAGGCACACCTGAGTCCTCAAAGTGACACCTTCATTTTGTAACACACTTGAAAGAGGTCTTTCTCAGCAGGTCTGCCCAATGCCTGACTTGATTTCTTGTCAGCTCTTTTTACGTTTGCTGGCTGTGGATCCACGTAAAATGAACACGTAGACAACTTCAGCATTTTTTATCTTTATCCTAATGCTTTTTTATTGGTCCAGTCATGAGGACTTTTGTTTTGTGATGATTTAATCCATACGGAAGGCTGTAGATTTGCTTTTTACCTTCATCAGCATGTGCTTCAAGTCCTCTTCCCTTCCAGCAAGCAAGATGGTGACCTCTACCTATCCCAGGTTGCTAACGAGCCTTCCTCCAACCCAAGTGCTGTGGTCTTCATCACACAGTCCAGCCTCTAGGATTATTTGCTCAGCATACCGATTGAACAATGGTATAAGGATACAACCGTGACGGACCTCTTGCCTTTATTTTAAAGCGTGCAATAGTCCCTTGTGCTATTCAAACAACTGTCTCTTGGTCCCCGTATAGGTTCCACAAGAGTGCAGTGCAATGCTCTGGGATCTCCATTGTCCCCTTGCTCTCCATGATTGGCTATGATCCACACAGTCGGATGTCTTTGCAGAATCAATAAAACACAGGAGCGTGCGGCACAACCATGGCCTTTTCTCAAGTGCCTGCTGACTCTCGGTTCTTTCTGGGTCTCTTTTCCCCAAATGAGGGGCCCACTAACCCCTATTCAGGGAGACTACCATCCAATCAGGGGCAGCCAAAGTGGGAGTCTGGGGCAGGGCCTCTGGACTTGGTAGCTGTTTTTTAAGGGCTGGAGGCAGGAGTTCCATGCTGTGGATGAGGGATGAAGAGGCCTCCCATCCATCCATTTATTCACCTATAAATGTTTCTCCACAGACAAAGGGCATGGTGGAGGGCAGGAGGGAGTGGATGCAGTGTTGGCTAATGTCTGGATACACATGCTGGTCCCTCTGAAAATGTCCCCAGGAGCCTACATAGACCCAGAAGGGTGCATGTTCAAGTATTTACGTGCATGTGAGTCTATGGACACTTACCAAAATACATCGCACCTGTGTTCATATGTGCACATGTATGACTGGACCCATTTGTACTTGCATGAGGCATGCTGGAGCCTGCCTGGAACCACACACAAACTCATGCAAGCCAACCCATGCACATGAACATGTATATATATGCATGTGCATGTATGTACGTGTGCATGTATCTGTGATTGCCTGTGTGTGGGAACACCTGGATCTGTCAAGCTGGCCTTGCATGTGCATGTGTATGCAAATGTCCCACTTTGTGTGCACACGCTACTGTCCCTGTTGGCCAATAGCTGGAAGATTGTAATGGGGATAAGGGAGAGGGGAAGGACGAGGACCCCCTGGCATCCATAGCCAACAGCTATCGGTCCTTGCCTGAGACCCAGGCCAGCGCAGGGTCTGCCTCTTCTCCTTAAGTGGTATTGATTCCTTGGTGTAGCAGTTAAATATAACCT